GTACTGAAATATAATTCTGAGGCATCACTGCACACCCTAGAGAAAATATTTGCCCAATTTGACTGTGGTCTGACTGATGTTGTTTAAATCAACTTTTATTATTCACTTGACTTAAACAGAACCTTTCAAGTATCTAAAGTGTTGCAGTTTTCTGCAGAAAAGTATCAGCAATGATTCAGCTCTTGAGTTGTTTCACATCATTGCTGCTTTTCTGCTATTTATCCTCTGTATCATCGAGTGACCTAAGCCCTCTTCCACTAAAGTTGAGCTACATAAACGGACCAAAAGGAGTCATTTTGTTCTCCTTTGTTTTTCGTATATCTCACAGTAAACTTGTGGACTTCACATTATCCACTGATGGAGACACATGCTTATGAAAACGAGAGGACAACAGGATGTTAAGATGTTTAAAAGAAGCTTCAGAAAGGTGTGAAATGTGTATGTATCCACATGTCTCCATCAGCTTAGATGATTTTGCCATTCACAGCACTTGTATTTATGGACTGTGGGTTGCAGAGGTTTGATGAAAGCAAAGCAAAATCTGTCTGGCTTTGTCCTTTTAAAGCCAACACCCCCTAAAATAGCTTTTAAAGCAGGATTAATGTCAGAGAATCAGGACTAGCATCCCTTGAAGGAATCTCTGTTGCCCGCCACCTTTCAAGCCAGGGTTTTTAAACCAAAATCCTTTTCTGCTGAAAAAAGGACGTATTTATATCCATTTTGGTCCAACCTCATAAATTATGTTATTTGCAATTTCATGCAAATTTGTAAGATCTTGCAAGAGTTCATCGACAAAAACTCGCAATTAAAAGAAAGACAAAAGCTCACTTTTTTATCAGCCACACATTACATTTCACAAATATCATAAGATTTCTATCAGATTATTATCATACAATATACACATATTACATTACAAATATAAGCATATTGCATGAGATTAAAAAAAACATTACTTGACATTTTTGTCACAAATTGCAAGACTGACACCAGTCAGATGCAGTGCCTCAATGCATGGAGGAAGTCCTCCAGAGACCAACGCTCAGGTACTAAGTCCTGGCACAGGATCCTGAGGATTCTAAAGCTCCACATGACTGCGTCCCTTCAGTTTTGCCATTGTCTTCCCTTTATTGTGTTACAGTGGCTGTGTGCTGACTAGTTTGGGCGGCTGTGGATGAGTAACTCTGTTATTGGAGGACAACTCAGGACAGTTATCCTCCAATGAGAGAGTTGGGGGTCATATTCTATTGCTAATTAGTTGCATGTCAAGGTATCCTTAGGCAACTGGACACTGAACCCTTTACTGCCTCTGATGTATGACATCAGTGTCTGAATGTGATCTAAAGCACTGATTACTCTCTATAGAATGATTTATATAGATTAGTTCTGTAGAGAGACAGTAGAGTGATGTGTGTGGATAGGTAAATCAGAACAAAGGCTGTAATGCAAAGCACTTCGAGTATCCTGGTTGGATAGGAAGGTGCTATCCAAGTATAGCACATTGCTATGAGAGGCCCTTTAGGCCATAATTCAAACTTGCTCACATATACTATCAAAGCCTCTTGCACAGGATAGGTGTTGATGTCTGTTGAGCTGGCAGGACATATTCCAGCCCTCATTCACAGTACAATATTATCTCAGCAGACACGATGGCTCAGTGGTTAGCACAGACGCCTCACAGCAAGAAGGTCCTGGGTTTGATCCCCGGTTAAGATCTGGCATCTTTCTGTGCAGAGTTTGCATATTTTCCTCTTGCTTGTGTGGGTTTTCTCCAGGCGCTCTGGTTTCCCCCATCCCTAAAAACAAGTACAACAGGTTGCCTTCATGCCCAGGCCTCCCTTGAAAAAGAGATCTGAGATCTCAACGGAACTTGCCTGCTTAAATAATGGTAAATAAATAATCTCATCCTGTCTCTCCGAGATGACCTGGTGCCAAACTGAGGTGGAGAGTTTCCTAAATGTACTTTTGGAACCATAGGTTGCACTTGTCTTTTTTTGAGCATGACAATTGTTTCCGCTTGCAAATATGGATGCATGTGCTGCCTGAGATAAGACATGCCATTCTGCACCTTGTCTTTGGAAAGGAAGGCCAGCATCCCACAAAAGTGCTTAGTGAGGTCCAAACACCAATGCCAGGGACTGGTTAAAAGCCCACACAATTAGGAATGAGTCAAAAAATATCACGTGGTTTTTAAAGTATTTTTAAAAATGTGACCTTTCTCTTTTTTCATTTCATTTTGTTTCATTAAGCTTATTTGCATACACTTCTTGCAAGATCTTCAAGCATTTGGAAGAGAATTTGAGAATGACTCTCAGCTACAACTACACCAAAACTTTGGAAAATATTAGTAAAATTTCCAAATATAAAGCCTTTTTGTGTTTTCTAAGGTCATTTTGAGTTATGTTGACTCTAAAAGTTAATTACAGCGAAGCCCTGGTTACCTTCTTAGAGTACGAGTCACAAAAAACTCAAATATTGGATGTGGTCCAAAAAAGGTCTACAACGTGTTTGGGGTGGCATCGTAATGCAGTAAGAACTAAACAAAAACACACAAGAGCTAAACAGTTAGGAGCTACACACCACACGGTACTGTTAGAGAGCAGAAAAGCTGCACTCCAGGCAGAGCATGGGCACAGGGCATGTGTCACATTCAGCCTTGTCATGTATTGTATTGTATTGTAATGCACTGTAATGTACTGTACTATACTGTAATGTACCATACTGTGTGTTTTATATAGAACTGAATTTACATTATTATTACATGACAAAAATAGTACATTATATTGTTCTTAATAATTTAGCTTTAAAAACTCACAAAAAAGACAATGGGGAAAATGACATTCTTTACTGTACTGTATTTACTGTATTGCCATTTTCCGCACTATCATGGGGATTATTGCAAACTACTAACAGTTAGGTTCCAAGACTACACACTGTGTGGGGCTTCACTGTAGTTGTAAATGCACATCTAATGATTATTCTCAGAGAATTGGATCAAAATTCATCTAGGCTTTCATGTGGTATTTTGTTGATAGACAGGCAGATATGACAACAATAGGAAAGGCAAAGTTTTATAGCCTGATCTCAAGTGATCTGTTAGTGCTCAGAGTATTTTGTTGGGAAATACTGTCAGCCACTACCACAGCTTAAAATTTGTAAAACTGACTGTGTTAAAGCTTGTTTTGTATTTGCAAAATTTGCTTATCTGCAGCTGTCATCGCCAATACAGTTTCAGACATCAGTTGTAGTTGTACATGAAATTCAAATTCAATTCAAAAATACTTTATTGATCCCAAAGGGAAATTACAGATAATAAATAATTCCTTTCTGAAAGTTTTACTGAAATCCCTCAGATGGTTCATGAAATATTTTGTTAACTCTACAAACAAACACCCTCACACAGAGACATGGGCAAACCTCGTCACTGCATCACCTTTGGTGGCAGGTGATAATTAAACTGCAGAATTGCTTTCTTCAAAAAGAATCGTGAATGTCACCTGTGCATCACTGTCCTTGGTTTTATTAGTCAATTTGAAATGTGAATGCTGCTCAGTTTTACCCTCCTGAAAGCACAATCGTTGGGAAAATTGTCTGCCTGAAAGCAAATACCAAAATGCAAACAGGCGAAAATCCCACAGCACTTGAATGTCAGCTTTTGTAAAAATCCCCAAAACACGCTGAGAAAACAATAGTTTGCCTGTTCAGTCACTAAAGCAAACACATAGAAATCTTTTGTGCTTGATGCTCTTGTTCTTCTCTCCACCTCTGTCTCCCACTGCGAAGTGTTTGAATAAAAGACGGAGCTGACCCACGCGTTGCTGAAGCCAACGCAGCATCATTCCCAAAGAAAGCTGGGGATTTTACTAAGAAGGCCCTGTGTGATGGGTCACTTTGCTTTGTAATCAAAAGACATGATGTTTTCAAGTGTGTGTGTGTGTGTGTGTGTGTGTGTGTGCGTGCGTGCGTGCGTGCGTGCGTGCGTGCGTGCGTGCGTGCGTGCGCTTGGAAAGGAACAGCAATGGCTTTTATTTTTGCTATCAGTAATTTAAATTGACATTAACTGCCTTCTAAGGCTGTCAACAGTGTATACAGTTGGAAGTCAATGTGCAGCGTTTCAAGACTGTACATTCTCAATCTAAAACGAGCTTCTCATGTGAAATCTCATTGAGAATCTTAATGTATTTTTTTTTCTTTTTATAGAAGGAAGTTTGGTTCAACAGAAAAATCCACCAGGAAAGATCTGACACACCTGGCTCACCTGACACCTCTCCTGATAAGAATAAACAGTCTCTGTCATGTGTACATTAAAGGTGACCTTTCCAACAGAAGTGATCACTGAAGTCTTCTCTTCCTCACATCTTCCCCGTCCATCCCCCGACTCCCTCCCCACTCTCCCCCGAACCTTCAAACACAGCCTTCAAGGTGTGTGGCGTTAAGGGCCGCCCCTCCTTACCTTGTCCTGAAGTTAGCCGGGTGTGGATGCCCGTCGTACAAAGATAAAAAGTCATATTCCTCCTCCACGGCGAAAGATTGAAAAACTATATGAATCCTGTTCCCCTCGTCTGCAACAATCACCCAGGTACAGTTCGCACCATTTGGATATCCGTAAGGAAACCCCGGGCTTTCTATTGTCCCATTCCTCCCTTTTAATGTGCCTCCACACGTATGGATAAAACCTGGGAGAAAACAAAGAAAACAAACATCCAGTTAGTCAAGTGTTTTCTGTTTTCTGTAATCCTACAAAATCGGCATGCCTTGTGCTATTTTAGTCATTTATACATCAAAACGTTCAGCTCATTCAGGAGGTGAGTGCTATGAGGTTTGTTTTTAATTAATTTTATACTTTACAAAACATTTAACTTAATTTACACAAATTTTAACAGAAAATACATTTAACCTTTTCAGATTTCAAAAAGCTGGTTCTCTTTGAAATCACGTACTGCATGCTTGATTTGTTTTTATCTCCTCATACTACTTTTGCCATCATTATGCTACTTTTATTGAGCATTTAGCTGCTTTCAGTGCCCAACTATCTATTGGTTAGTTTTAGTTTTAGCTACATATCTGCTAGTTTGACTTTAAGTTGGCCTTTTGCTACTAAACTGCATTTTGCTACTTTGAACTTTTACCTAGATATTTGCTGCTTTAGTTTTAAACAAGCTTTTTCCTACTTTTAGCCAGAATTTGCTGCTTTTTGCTTATAGTAAACCTTTTTCCTCCCCTGAGATAGTGTTTAGCAGTAGGTTTAGATTTAGTTAGCGTTTTACTAATTTTAACTTTTAAGTAGCCTATGTTAGCTTTGGGGTTTAGTTTTTAGTACATCTTTAACTTTTTTAGCTACTTTTAGCTTTTAGCTAGACTTTTGATACTTCTAACTTCTAGCTAGCATATTGCTTCTTTCAGCGTTTTACTGCTTTTAGCTTTTACTTAGCATTTTGCTACTTCAGTTTTTTGATTGTGTTTGGCTTATTTTAGCTTTTAACTTTCTGCTATTTTAGATTTAACAACTCAGTTTCAAATTTTCCATCAAGTTCAGCAAAGTTATTCAGCTCTGAGCATTTATATTTTTATTTTGGCAGAAAAAATTAAGTTTATGCCGTTATTAAATAAATGTATTATTATTAAGTTTATTTGATAGGGACAAACACACAATATCATAGACAAAATGGATAAAACAGTGACCCCATGCCTGTATCATGGTGCTTATAGGGTGAGCGAATGTGCAGCACTTGTCCTTAGTCGTATAATGTCTAGGAATACATGTAACATTTTTGTAACTCATGCATGAACCAAAACACTCACACACTAAAATAGAGATTATATTGATTTGATTTATTGATTTAACAGGAAAAGATTACTAAAAAAAATCAAGCCTGACTCAGCATAATTGCTGTTTTGCAGAAGGTTCCTGTTTTGCAGCACATAAAACACTCAGAAATACAGCATCACAATCACATCATGATACACCATAGACACAAAGACAAACAAGCATACCAAATTTCAGGAAGGCAGCTTTCCAGGCAGATGTCCATCATTTGCGTCTTTGATCTTCCGTTTATGTAACATACAGAGTAACAGCAACACTAAAGCTGAGGTAAATTTGGTCAAAAATAGACCTGCAGATGCCTGTAAAGCCAAATAGGATGTATTTTCCTGCAGCGATACTGCACAGCTACATACATCTGCCGCCACCGCCGCCATCTTTTTTACATTGATAACATATTGTACAACAAATTTCACAT